TGGAGAGGGTAGGGAGAAAAGGGAACCCTCTTGCACTGTTGGTGGGAATGTAAATTGATACAGCCACTATGGAGAACAACATGGAGGTTCCTAAAAAACTAAAAATAGAACTACCATATGACCCAGCAATCCCACTACTGGGCATATACCCTGAAAAAACCATAATTCAAAAAGAGACATGTACTACAATGTTCACTGAAGCTCTATTTACAATAGCCAGTAAATGGAAGCAACCTAAATGTCAACCGACAGATGAATGGATAAAGAAGATGTGGAACATATATACAATGGAATATTACTCAGCCATAAAAAGAAACGAAATTGAGCTATTTGTAGTGAGGTGGATGGACCCAGAGTCTGTCATACAGAGTGAAGTAAGTCAGAAAGAGAAAAACAAATACCATATGCTAACACATATATATGGAATCTAAAAAAAATGGTTCTGATGAACCTAGGGGCAGGACAGGAATAAAGATGCAGACAAAGAGAATGGACTTGAGGACACGGGGAGGGAGAAGGGTAAGCTGGGACGAAGTAAGAGAGTAGCATTGACATATACACACTACCAAATATAAAACAGATAGCTAGTGGGAAGCAGCTGTACAGTAGGGAGATCAGCTCGGTGCTTTGTGACCACCTAGAGGGGTGGGATAGGGAGGGTGGGAGGGAGACACAAGAGGAAGGGGATATGGGCATATATGTATACATATGGCTGATTCACTTTTTTAAACAGCAGAAACTAACACAACATTGTAAAGCAATTATACTCCATTAAAGATGTTAAAAAAATAAAATAAGCAGCCCACAAAACCTCATAATAAACCTATGAATTAAGATGAGATATAAATAAATAAATAAATGATAAAGTGGGTTACTTGTGGTAAGCTTATACTTTGGGTTTTGCTTTTTTAGCTGTCTGATAATCTCTTTACTTAGAGTAAGACTATCTACATTTATTGTAATAACTGGTATGACTGGGTATAAATCTACCATTTTGTGATTTGTTTTCTTTTTTCATCTGTTCACTGTTTTTTTTTCCCCTCTCTTCCCCTGCCTTCTTTTGGATTAACTGAGGTTTTTCTTAAAGTATTCCATTTTACCTCCTCTATTGGCTTATTTATTTTCTAGTGGTTGCTCTAGAATTTATTCATCCTCCATTACCACAAGTTATCTTCAAGTAATATATACTTGATGTAAAATGTAAGAATCTTATTACTGTATTAATTCCAACCCCCACCCGTCATTTGTCTCACGTCACACATTTTACTTCTACGTGTTATAAACTCCCAAATGCATTGTTATTTTTTCCTAAATGGGCAATATATTTTTAAAAAAGTAAAAAATGAGGAAAGTCTTTTTTATGTACTCACATATTTACCATTCCTAGTGTTCTTCTTTGTAGATCTGAATTTACATCTCAAATAATTTTTCTTCAGCCTGAAGAACTTCCTTTAACATTTCTTATAGTACAGGTCTAGGTCTGCTGGTAACAAATTTTCTCAGATTTTGTCTGAAAATGTCTTTATTTAGTCTTAATTATTCAAGGGTATTTTTACTGAATATAGAATACTAGGTTACTTTTTTTTTCTTTCAGGACTTTAAAGATGTTGCTTCACCTGTCTTCTGGCTTGCATTATTTCTGATAAGAATTAGTAAAAACTTCTTATTTTTATTCCCTTCTATATAGTCTTTTTTCTTTGGCTGCTTTATATTTTTCTTTATTACTGGTTTTCAGCAATTTGATTATAATGTGTGCCTTGTGATTTTCTTTATGTTTATGCCACTCTGGGTTTGTTAAGCTTCTTGGATTTGTGGGTTTATATTTTTAATTAAACATGAACATTTTTCAGTCACTTAAAATATTTTTCTGTCCCTTGTTCCCCTCCTTCTAAGATTTCCAGTTACATGTATAGTAGTACAAATGACACTGTCTCACTGGCAATTTTAACTTTGTTCCGTTTTTCAGTCTTTTTTCTTTCACTGTCCAATTCGGATAATTTCTATTGCTATGTCTTTAAGTTCACTAATCTTTTCTTTTGCTGTATTTAACCTACTGTTAAACCCAACCTAATCAACCTTGAATTCTATGTTCATCAAAACTATCTTTCAAAAATAAAGGCAAAATCAAGATATTTCATTTTTATGCTCTAGAAGTTCCATTTTCTTTTTAAACCTTTAAATTTGTTCATTATCTTCTATCTTTAAAATTTTGAAAATACTAATAGTACTAAAATACTATTTTAAAGTCCAAGTCTGTTAATTCCATCATCTGTCATTTGTGAGTCTTTTTTCTAATTGGCTGAAGTTTCTCTTGGTTATTTGTCACATCTTCCAGCTTCTTCTCATGACCAGTAATTTTTGATTGGATGCTAAAATTGTGGACCTTATACATTTGAGTTTTTGGATTTTGCTGTCTTCAAAGAATGTTAAGATTTTGTTTTGGTGGACAGCCATTACTTGTCATAATCCTGACTCTCTGAAGGATTACTTAAGCTTTGTTAGGACAGGTCTAGACTAGTCTTCACTTTAGGGCTAGTTTAGCTTGATTTCTAAGGTGGTGTGACCCTTCTAGTGTCTCTTCTGAATGCCTTGAGTGTTCAATTAGGTCTCTACAGTTTGGCCAGTTGGAACTCGAACATTTCTCAGCTCAGCATAAGCTCTGGGAACTGTTCAGTTTACAGCTTCCTGGTAATTATTCCCTCCCTAGTAGCTGTTTTTTGCCTGGCCTTGTGGGATTTCACCCAATATATGTACAGCTTAGCATTCAGCCAAAGATTCATAGCACTCTTCCTCTGGAAAGCTTCCTCCACCCCTGTACTTGGCCTGCAAATTCTAGCTTCCTTTGTTCTCTGAACCTTGATATCTATCTCTTCAACTAAGCAAGACCACCATGTTTTTTTTTTTTTTTTTTGTGGTACGCGGGCCTCTCACTGCTGTGGCCTCTCCCGTTACGGAGCACAGGCTCACGGACGCGCAGGCTCAGCAGCCATGGCTCACGAGCCCAGCCGCTCCGCGGCACGTGGGATCTTCCCTGACCGGGGCGCGAACCCGGGTCCCCTGCATCGGCAGGCGGACTCTCAACCACTGCGCCGCCAGGGAAGCCCAAGACCACCATGTTTTAATTTGGCTACTCCTGCCTGAAAGGCAGTCTAAAAAGTGCCTCCAGGCAGAGGAAAGCAAGGACTAGTGTAAAGTTTACCTTATTTATGTCCCTTCCCTGAGGGATTACATTCCTGGTCTCCCTGTTGTCCAATGTCTGAAAACAGTTAAACTTATATTTAAACTTGCATATTTTATCCAGGTTTCTAGTTGTTTACAATAGAAGGAAAAGTCCCATACGTGAATGGCTTCATGACCAGAAGCCATTCCATTATATTTTAGGCAGTAAAAATAAAGGTTAAATGCAAAGCTAGAATAGAAAAATGTAATGGACAAGCACCTCAAAATATTTTTTCTTAATAATCCTAAAAGGTCGGTATGAGCAGATAATAACATTTTTAATTATAAATATAAACCCCATCCTATCCCACACTTACTGATACTGGCTCAAGCACAATGTTAGCTGCTAGAGATACGAAGTTGGATAAGACAAGGTCTCTTCTCCCCAAAAACCTTCTAGGCTATGAAAGATACACACAGATTTTTGTAAAAACTATTGTGAATTTTATTAATGTCATGCTTCACTCTCTTGAGGCTCTTTTTAGCAGCAGGTCCTTCTTTATATGAAAGGCACAAAATATATAGTATCAAGAAGAGAAGTTTCAGAAGGAATCTACTCTTTGCAGTTGCACACCAGTACGACTGAAACCCAGAGAGCTCTCCTTCAAGGTGCAATCTTTCTTTTCCAATTTTTCATTGCTAGGAAGGGCAAAGGCTAGGGGAAAGTGGGTTTAGGGGATAAAACAGGATGGAGAAGAGTGAAGAAAGGTGGTAGGAAGTGGAGAGGTTGACAGTGAGAGTAGGATTTGAGAGCTGGCTAGATAACTCCCTTCACCCCATCCCTGCTGCCAATGTGTTAAAAAAATCAATCAAGAAAAATACTAATTTCTCTTATGTCAACCAACAGTACAATGACATTTGTGTGCTATGAGGTTAAGATGAGTAGGCATAATCAGAAATGGCGTGAGCCTGGAAGTATCAATTAACTGGCAAAGACTGAAAAATATGGAGGTTAGAGAACATTTTGAAATTTAAAAGGGAGAAGCTTAAAAAAACAAAACAAAAACACTGGAAGTCTAAGGGGAAAATGAACATAGATCAAAGAAGGATAAATGGAAAAATAAGTAAAAATTAGTATGTCATCGAAATATTAAAATGAATCAGACGAGTGAAAAAAAAAATAGCCAAGTGGCCTAGTCTGAGAGTAGATAGCACTTTAAAACAGAAGGCAAGGATTTTGGTACTGCCTTGGAAAAAAATGGTGAGTCAATGCTTTAGGATAGAGAAATTTAAAATGCTCTGTTGATTATGTTCTCTTGGAGGAAGCTGATCTTAGAATCACAGGCCTTACTAGATTGGAAATATACAGTTGAAAATAAATGTTCTAAAACAGAATACTATAGTGGGAAAAAATAATGGACCATTCTTCAATAAAAATATTTTGAACAATTAATCAGTTAATTACAGAATGGAGAAGGATTTTAATAAAGCAAAAAGAGGACTATCTTTTTGTTTGGGAAACCAAAGAATAAAAATTTCAAGTTCAAGCTTAATTATACTATTAAACTCAATTTTTTACACCAAAATTTAGTTATAATATACCAGAAGAAAATGTTCAAATTCAAAGAACTTCTTCCTAGTTATTTAGAAAACAGAACACAGGAGGTAAGTAAACAATGGAGACAGAAAATCTAGGTTTGTCATTAGCTATATGACCTTAGGCAAATGCTAGAAGTTCTTCCTCTTTGTTTCTTCCTCTATAAAACCTCTTCCAAAACACTGTTGTGATTAGGTAAGATAACATATTTGAAAGTGTTCTGTAATATAAACTATTTAAATACCTTGCTGATTCTGGATCCAAAATCAGGGCTTCTATTGCATGAGATATCAGTAAACAGCTCTGCTGCTGTCTGCATTATGTTAAGGTTATACATGATAATAGAGAAATGTACTATAGACTTTATATTATTTGAATATTAAATAAGGCAAGATGAAAATTGTAAGGCCAGCAGGTCCGGGGAAGGGCCCAGGGAACCAGACGGAATCCCCGCCAAGGAGGCTGATGCAACCAACCGGTCTTCCCGCTCCCTGAGGGGCGGAACCAACGGCTCTGAGGCTGATGCAACCGACACCCAACATTGCCACAACATCCAAAAGATTACCAAAAAGGGGCTGCTTCACACAGCAAGTGCCTCCCCTGCGTCCACCCCTATAAATTTTGTTCGCGCCCACACCCAGGCGCAACTTCTCTGGCCCCTTTCTCTCGGACCAGTGAACCTCACCCGGGAGCGTTCCCAAATAAAGCTTGTTTAAGCTCTCCTCCGGTTTTGGTGCCGTTCCTTACAAAATTCATATCCTTAGTGAAGGTAACCACATGTTATTGACTCAAATAGTCTGTGGCTCTGTTTTTTTCTTTTTAAGGTATATATGTTGTCTGTGATAGTTCCAGGAAGAGTACTTCAGAGGTTAATGTTGGAAGGAGGAACCAAGCAACAGGCTCTGTGATTCAATCACAGAAACTTTTTTATCTATCTTGGATATAGGGGTTTCACTAATGAAAAGTTTAAATAACCACCACAATAAGGGTCTGTAGAGCGGTTACCCTGGAGGTTCCTAGGCTGGGGCTCAAGGGATCTGTTAACTCTCCTGAAATGGTATGCAAATTTTGGGGGATATGTGCATATATGCATTTTTTTTAGGGGAGAGGGTCCATAGCATTCATCAGGTTTTCAATCACTAAACCAAAATGCCAGGAATTACTGATTTATAGGTCTGCAACTTAAAAGCAATTTATCTCTTTCTTCCTTTCAAAAAGGATCTGAAGCTGCTAATAAGAAAATACGGAGAACTGAAAGGGGGCTTAGGGAACATAAGTGATGACTGAAACGACTGAATATATCATTAATAAAGGTGATGGGAACTAGGGTTGTTAGCTGTGAATAAAAGATAGGTGAAGCAAGACAGAAAATGGTTCTCTGGTGGAAAAATATTTTGTGTTGTCCATTGTAGCTCAAGTGAGCACAAAGTATTCAACACTGCTTGGACCTGGGTTTTGGACGCTCTTCCCAGAGGTGGAAAAAGACCACCACTGAGTCACCACTTTTTAAAAAGCCTGGTTGAAGTAAAGAAGTTAAATTATACTGCTCATACTAGGTTTCAAAAGAGAAATTATTATTTATGGTAAATCTGTAGGCTTATCTAATGTATATGTATATTTTAGTTAAGCGTATCTGAAATATTTACTCTACATTTAAAAGAATACTTCCAAAGAACAAGAAATATTGGGCAAGTTTAGGATACAGTTCTACATTCCTCAAAGTTGCGGAATCAGCATCAAAAGATGCCTGATAAAGATCCCCATATCGGGAAGCAAGGCTTCGGAATTCTTCCATGGACAGTTTCATCTATAAAGAAAGAAAAATATCAATTATGATAAATAAACAAATATGCTTTTGTGTTGTATAAACAACACAGAAGTCAAAACATAAGAAAACAATCCTCAAACAATAAAAATATATTTCAACTCATTTTCAATTCATTCATTTTTATAAACCCTATTAAAGAAAATTAACAAAGATGGCAAATGAAACTACAAATGTGTACAAGATTATAATTTACACATAATGTACAGAAACAAAAAACACTGCATTTTTAGCTTCTTCAAAGTTTCACTAAAATAAATAATATGGCTATAAACTTCCCAAAGTTTCTTTAAAATGTATGTCCTTTTTCTTTATATAAACATGTAGCAACTAGTGAGATATCATCAATCACTCTGTCATTTTAATAAGACTTCAGCCTGTTTTTTGCAAGACAGATGAGTTTAGAAGTATTTGATGTTGCCTCTGAGTCAAACCACTGATTTTTAAGTTTCAGAATTTTTCATCTCACAACTAACCTCAAAAACCTCTAAAGCGTAAATAAAAACTGCACTGAAAATAAAGTTAAGACATACCTGATTGGAGATGCGACCGCACCGCTGGAGGTCATTCCCTAAGGTCATGGCAATTGTTGTGGCAATTGCAGGTGGCGGGCTTGTCTTGAGGCTACTACAAGTACAGATAAGTTGAGAGAAGGCTTGGAGAAGGTCAATCCTGAGCTTTACAAATTCACACTGAAAACTTAAAGGATTCAGTGGTGTACTGGCAGCCTGGGGAATAAAAACAAGCTATATTTAATACAAGGTAAGCATAAAAGGAAGATGCTGAAGGACAAAGTATTTATCAGAGTCTGCAAAAGAGCAGTAGTTCTAATGATGATGGATAAACACCTACATTATTAGGGGAGGATGTAATATTAGAAAGAAAAACTTATTGTCATTAGCATCAACTCTGAAAAACTATGTTCCATCAACACTCAGGTTCCTTACTTCCTACATTTGCAAAGACCCCACAAGACATGGGTTAACTAGACCGTCATCTGTAAGATATCATATGAGGGATGCTTCATAGACATTACCATTCCCCCCAGATTCCCTTATCACCTTCCTACCTTTCTAATCTGAAATTCACATGCTGGAATCATTAAACAGAATTTTTTAAAGTTGGAAGGGGGGAGGGCTTCCCTGGTGGTGCAGTGGTTGAGAGTCCGCCTGCCGATGCAGGGGACATGGGTTCGTGCCCTGGTCCGGGAAGATCCCACATACTGTGGAGTGGCTAGGCCCGTGAGCCATGGCCACTGAGCCTGCGTGTCTGGAGCCTGTGCTCTGCAACGGGAGCGGCCACAACAGTGAGAGGCCCCCGTACCGCAAAAAAAAAAAAAAAAAAAGTTGGAAGGGGGAGAAAAGAAAGGTGAGGGCAGGAGAAATATATTGTTAGACCGTCACTGTTAAAAAAGCCTGTTGCTGGCGGAGGTGAGGCAAGAGCCAGCCAGACCACGTGGGGCCTTCAGACCACAGGCAAGGTTCCGTATTATATTTTAAATGCAGTGTTTGGCGCCCAGTCCCCTACTCTGTGCAGCACCCTCTTTGTGTACAGGCCCACGGCAGCCCCCCCCGCCCCTCCCCGCTTTCTTCCCTGCGGATGCGCACGTGCGTCCGAGCGCGGCGGCTGTGCCCAGAGACCCGCCTGACCCCGGGCGCCCTTAGCCCTGGTCCGGGCTCCAGCCACCGCAGCACAATCGCCTCTGGTCTCGCGCTCTGCCCTCAGGCACCTGTCCCCCGGTGATCCACGCAAGGCCCCGTCAGCAGGTGAAGTGGCCTCCCTTAGAGCGACCCGGAAAGTGTGGTCCATATTTCAAGGTGGACTTTCAAAGGCGGTGCTGCCTTGAGCCCGCGGGCCCCGCCGGTGGCCGAGCGCTCCAAGACGTTAAGGGAAGGGCAGGCCTTCCCTAGTGCAGAGGCACGGGTGTTGGCCGACTGTCCATTTTTGCAGAAATCTTCCTCCTATGTGGGATCGCTGTCTGGAGAAGGGCTCCTGCTTTGCTCCGGGAAGAAGCTGACCCAGGACGGCAACACGTGGCTGGAAGGGCCATCTCCAGAAAAGAGGAAGAGCTGCAAGTGCCGTCAGTGATCCCCTCCAGGCACCCAGAGCCTTAACTGAAATACCGGATCGTTCCCTAGATTTTTGCTACATTAAACTATATTGTCCAGTTAAAAAAAAAAAAAAAAAAAGAGTACGAAACACCGTGGTAGAGGACAACGATTCCTGGCTCTCCCCTGACTGCACAGCCTTTGGACAACTTTGCCAGTGAAAGAGCTTTGTTCCAACCACCTGCCCCAGTGCAGCTGTGTCGATGGCACGAAGCTTCTTTCCGCAGCTCCTATTTCACAGCAGTCCCCTCTCCCTGGTCTCGTTGTGGGTCACACCATGATGGCTGCCCACCCCTCAGATGGACCACAGGTTCTGGAGTTGGCTGCTCCCGAGAAGAGCCGGGTGGCGACTTTTTTGAGCAGGACCAGAACAGACCTCCTCGGGTCACGCAGCTGCAAGTGGCACAGTGACCCAGCCGCTCGCTTACAACCAGCCACTTTCCCAAACCAGCTGCTGCTTCAACTTCGTGATCGGGCCAGCTTCTAAATTGGGTAACGGTCAAGAGGCATGGTCTGTGATGTCATGTATGTACAAATCTGTTTCTCGTTGAAGTTACAAAAGTAATGACAACACGAGCTTTCGCAGGGACGAGCTCACTTTGTTCCGATCGCTGCCACCAGCGTAGGGGGTCCAGGGTGGCGGGTAGATGAAGCCCACCTCTGCCTGAAGCATCCAGCCAGGCTGTGCATCCACTTCCTGGTCTGAGAAACGGAACTAATAAGCAGAATACAACTTCTCTTTATTGTCTGCTATGAAGAGTGATCTGATTTAAACATTACTCGGAGGCCCCTGCTTATTTTACCAAGCACAATGTCCTCAACGTTCCTCCATGCCGTAGCAGGTGACAGGACTTCCTTCTCTTTTAAAGGTTGAATAATATTCCATAGTCTGGATAGACCACATCTTGTTCATCCATTCACCTTTCAGTGGACACTTGGGTTGTTTCCACCCCTTGGCTAGTGTGAGTAATGCTGCTCTGAACATGGATGTACAAATACCTGTTTGAGTTCCTGCTTTCAGTTCTTTTGGGTCTATACCCTCATGGGTGTGAGGCAGTATCAGTGATTTTTAAGACTCCTTTGCTTCCCAATTTCTTTAGCTGTCTTTCTCTCCCCTCCTACCTTAGGAAATACTTAAGAGGTTAAATGTATAAGATAAAGAAATTCCTAAAAATGAGGAATTGGGAAGTTTAGACTTACATCTAGAGGGATTGGAATGAGTCCCTTTTTACCACCCTGAATTCTCCCAGCCAGTGCCTGCCCTGTCCCACTTCGCAGCTGGCTTTGGGTTCATGAAAACATATACAATATTAGAAATTAAGACTAAAAGATTGTTTTTAAAAGATTTTTATTCATTCATTTAAACTTACAATAAGAAACCGACTCCATGTTACTCAACAATAAATAACATTTTATGAAAAATCATTATTTTCAAAAAATGATTAGTGAGAACAAGGGACTTGTTTCATATTTTTGCAGATCTCTTTAATGTCTAGCTTGATAAAAGGCAGCTGGATTCTCATAGCTGCTTCTGTGTTCAGTCTCTTGTAACATATTATTTTAGTTGATGTCTGTTAAGAAAATTTGATCTCACAGGGATGTGTAGCAGGAAAATGGAGAAGCGTTTATATAGGTTCTGCACCATTCACTGAATTGTGCAGTTATTCCAAATGTTGACCCATTTCACTAGACAATATTAAAAATCACAGTTGTGTGGAATGTAAATTGGAGCAGCCAGTATGGAAAACAGTAAGGAGCCTCCTCAAAAAATTAAGACTAGAACTACCATATATGATCCAGCTATTCCATATCTGAGTATTTATCCAAGGAATACAAAAACACTAATTTGAAAAGATAGATGCACCTCAATGTTCATGGCAGCATAATTTACGATAGCCAAGATATGAAAACAACCTAGGTATCCATCAACAGATGAATGGATAAAGATGGTGATATATATATGTACCATTGTGTCCCCGCGAAAAGGCAAGGACCGTCTTAGTATTATTAGAAAAGTAGTTTCTTTTTTAATATCAGTTATCTTTTAATTGAGGTGTAGTTGATTTACACTGTTGTGTTAGTTGCAGGTGTACAGCAAAGTGATTCAGTTATACATATATATATTCTTTTTCAGATTTTTAAAAATTTACTGAAGTATAGTTGACTTACAAAAAAAATGCTAACTTAACAATAAATGGAGGCGTAATGAAATTAACTTTCTTCCCTGACGTGACTCGCTTAAAACATGCTGATGCTGTTCTTAGATAGTATTTCACACTCTTCTTTTAGGAGGAGAGCCTGGTGTGTGACTTGAGGTTCTAGAATTAAGTTACAATATTATCCATCTGACCAAGTATTGACCTTAGTGTAGTTCTCTCTAGTTTTAAGTGTCAAATTATAGTTTTATTATTTGGTGGAATTCATATTTTACTCTAGGAAATAGTTTGCCACTTCCTGTATCCTTTATAAGAACATACACTTGCTCTAGTATCCCTCTCAAATTGCAAAGTTACACCTATATAAAATTATATAAGCTAGAGGTAATAACTATAATCAATATATTGAATTCTGTGGTTTTCGAACTTTTGGGATGTTTTGTTCTAATCATGAAACAGCACAGATTAGGGATATTAAAGAGACTATTTCAATTGTTTTTAATTTCTTGGAGATTTGATTTCCTCTTATAGGAAGATAAGTTCCCCCTTCCTCTGCCCCTTAAGCTGCTACTTGCTATTTTTTATTTACTGCTTATCAATAACTTTAGAAGGATCAGGGATACAAGTGGGTATATATGATATATATACAGTTATATACAGTGAAGACCATCTTACCAGACAAAAAATCATTTGAAATATTGTCCTAACATGCATTATAAAACTGAAAGCGAAGCAAGATGTAGTTATAATGAAAAAGATTTACTGCTACTCTGAAGTTATTTCTGACTAACAAGAAATATTTGATGATATAAGATGGTAACTTTGAAAGTGACTGTGCATCTTACATCGTGTTATACTGAGGAAAACAATGTTAGATATAGTATGCATGTTCAAAAAGAACACAGAAAAGATAAACTTGTGATAAAGGTCAATCAAAGACTTTAAAAAGGTAATATCGTCCATGAGAGACAGAAAACATATAAAAATAAAATTTAGACTATAGTGCTATGAACAATGCCAATGAGAAGTAAAAGGGATATTATTTACTCTTCTTTAAATGGGGGCTAAAGCTTAAAACGGAAATGGGTTCTAAGGTCAGCAGGTAAAGCAAAAATTGTATACAGTCAAAATTATCCCTGAAAATTCCTCAAGAAGGAACTACTTCCAGTAAATTTAACATAGGTGAAGGAACAGCAAACTCAGAGCCCCGGGGTACAAGCTAATTGAGAAGAACTGTCCCCACTATTTAAACTGCTATTTTGTGTCCCCATTATTTAAATAGCTATTTTCCCTCATTCTTGTTCTTTCTTTCTTTTTTTTAAAAGTCTAAACATACAGAGGTAAATCTGTGTTAAACACACATATAATGCTACTTCACTGAATTTCTGACTTGTGGTACATATTCTGTTTTCTATATGAAGCAGCTAAAAAAACCCAATGTGGCTGAAAGTTAAGCTACTTAAT